ACACAACTTTTACCTGAATGAAATGAATATGGTCAGCTGTGTGGGAAACCTGCTCCACGTCATCATCTCTTCTCCTCAGCTTGGCCATCTCCTCCTCCAGCTGCATCTGCAGATCTTCTGCCTCAGCTATTGCAGTTTTCCACCGAGCTTCAATCAACTCCTTCATTAAAGCACGTTGTTTTTGGATGGAGGAGATCAGCTTGTCAAAGTGCCTGTCATTGGACTTCACAGCAGTCTGACAACAAATCTGTTATTCATAAAGAAGGTTCAGTTTAAAATAGATGCACAACATAGCAGAAAGTTTTCTGGATTCACTTTGTTCCTGGCAAAAACATATGAACATAAAATAAATTCAAAACAAACGTAGTAGGTGTACACCAAAATGCAGGAATACATGTTGCAATTACAGACAGTCATGGTTATCAGCTCTCACTGCCAGATGTCAGAACCTGTACAAAAGACACTGCTGTGGTCAGAACAGATACACGTTTTCTAGTCTTATTTCCACACCTCGAAGTCCTTCACAGCTTGGACCAGCTCATTCAGCTCCTCTTGTCTCTCCTGGAATCTCAGCTTGACTGCACTCTGGATCTCACCAAGTTTTACCTGTAAGAAGCAACCACAAATGTGTCATTGTGAATATTTCAGTCACAGGAGTAAAATTCAACCACTCTCCAGATTTACATTGGCTTTTTGTCTCTACCTGTTTATCAGCTCTTTCTGCTGCAGCTGACACTGTTGAGTGGTGCCTGTGATCGTCCATGGTGCACAAATAGCAGATACATCTTTGATCAGTCTTACAGTAAACCTCCATCAGCTTGTTGTGCTTTGTGCACATTTTTTCCTTTAATGGCACTGTAGCAGACACCAGCTGGTGAAGCTTCAGCACAGGAAAACTGTGGTGAGGCTCAAGATGAGCCGGACAGTACGATGCCAAGCAGGTCAGACAAGACATGCTGGCTTTGTTTCTTCTGGTCCCACAACAGAAATCACAGGCAATGTCTGTTGGCCCTGCAGGAGCAAGAGGAGAAGCTGGACGGGGCTGTTGGGTTACTGTCCTCTTCAGCTTCTCTACAACCTACAGTTATCAAATAAAAGTGGCCAGAGGTTTTGTACGACAAACAGAATCGAAACTATAGAAAAATGTGTTATTTATTTTAAGATTGCACTATCATTTAGAAAGCATGTGCTATGATGATAATATAATTCATTTAAATATTTTAGGGGTAACAAGAGCAGACAATGCAAACACCCACAAGAAAATCTGCCAAAGAAAATATAAAATTATGATTACTGGGCACTTTATGAGCTGCATCTGTTCATCTGCTTGTTTCAACACATATCTAATCAACTAAACACATGGCAGCAACTCACTGCATTTAGGCATGTAGACATGGTCAAGATCACCTGCTGAAATTCAAACTAAGCAGATGGTCTGCAACAGCAGAAGAGCCACTTCCACAGCTAAGAACACAAAACTCAGGCCAGAATTCACACACGCTCACCAAAATTATACTACTGAAGAAGATTGTCGCTGGTTCTGAAGAACAAATTTCTCCTGCAACTTTCAGTTGATAGTGAGAGTTTGGCATGAACAATATAAGAGCATGGATCCATCCTGCTTTGCATCAGTT